GGTTTTGATGAACTGTGCTTGGACAACACTACACTAATCGAAATTTGTTTTCTTTTTACTTTTTGTTGTAACAGATATATCTGCTCATAAAAACTAAGGTAGTTTTTTTGTGGACTCTCTAGAAACAAGTGCAAGTATACTGCTGCAAATTCTCTTGCGCTGTGGAAATGCGTCTTATCGAAACAAAAAGTTTTTTTGTAATGGTCGAACTAGGAGTAATAACTGCATAAAATATTATTGGTTTGATTTTAAGTTAGTGTAAAAATCAACAGTGTGTGCTCAAAGGGAAATGGAATGGTCTGTTTATATGCAAAAAGGCGGACAAAAATTTAAAAACTACTGACTTTTGCATTATGTGGTCAGTTTGGAATTATTGTTAGTACAGAGGTCTCTGTTCTTTAGAGTAGTGGTTGAGACTGGTGTGGTTCTCTTTGATGCCTGTAGAGGGTGATTTTCAGGTAACGGATAGTCTTTAGTTGGCGTTAGCATTCTTTATTTGCTGGAATTTGAAGAAAATTTTGTAAAGGAAAAAGTAACCAATCTAAGCCGCTTTTCTCATTGGAATTCAGTGGTTTTTAAGTATGTTGCGGGTCATTGTTTGCTTCTTTTTTGCTTTTTTATGCAGTTAAAACCGGTGCATTAGTTATGGCACTACAATTCAGTTCCAGAAAATCCTTCTGTAACTTTAGCAGTTTTACGATTCTTTCTGTTACACCTTATTTCATTACGTTTAAACTTGGTGATAGCACTTTTCTGTGGCATATTATTGGCATCCGCTTCCTTTAGCACTACGATAATGCTTTACTTAAGTGAAGGGTGTATAAAGTTCTTATCTCTTTTTGAAATGTATGTTACTTCAACAGAGTAATTTTTTAGGTTAGGTTTATATTAGTTTTTTACAAATGGCGGCTGAAGTTGATCAGCAGATGGAAGTGGACGAACAAGCAGGTGCGGTTACTGCAAAAGGAAAGAAGCGTTTTGAGGTACTCAGTTTCTTCTATTCTTATTTTCAGTACTACATGTAAATTTGCAGAAGATTGATGTCTTCAGGTGCTCGGTCAAGTGTGCTTTATTATAAAAATTTTGTAACCATTGGGGTGGTTTCGTAGTGGTCATAAAGTCTTTTAAGGTTTTTTTTCTTGCTCTTGCTGATAATTTATGACCTTGTGAGCAGAAACTGGCATGCTGATTTCTTAGCTCATTTTGGTTCCCAGAAGTTAACCCAAACTCAAAATTATACAAAATAAGTCTTGTAAATTTCAAGCAGTTGGATTGATTATTCGGAAAAATTGGTATGTCCTTCTTGCCTTTCTACTTTTTTTACGCAAGTGAAAAAAATTGGGAACAAGCATCTTGTTACATTGGGCTATTGTTTTTTTATACATGGATGTGCGGTGTTGTCTTGATTTTTTTGCTCGTAATTTAAACTTTGCAGGTAGGCTTTAACGTGAATCAACCGTTTTGGAGCTTGATGTAGTGGTCATAAATAATTAACATTTTTAAGGTGAAAAAGTGGAATGCAGTTGCGCTCTGGTCGTGGGATATAGTAGTGGATAATTGCGCTATATGCCGCAACCACATCATGGACCTATGCATTGAGTGTCAAGCGAACCAAGTAAATTAATTTTTTAATTTCTATTTCATTTTTTTGTTTATTTGTTTGTTTGTTTGTTGGTGTTAGTAAAAAGGTAACGAGTTTGAGAAAATTTTGCTTATTTGAAACCTTAGTTCTTGTCATTACTTTTATTCTTTTGAGTTTGTTTGCTGTTTCAGGCTTCAGCGACATCAGAGGAATGTACAGTTGCGTGGGGAGTTTGTAATCATGCTTTTCATTTTCACTGTATTTCCCGTTGGTTAAAAACACGTCAGGTTTGTCCTTTAGACAACCGAGACTGGGAATTTCAAAAGTATGGTCATTAAAGTCGTCATTTTTTTTTGCTGAGGAATGCAAGAGCTCCATTACAACATTCAAAAGCTTAAGCTTTATGTGCGCTGTATAATAGTAATGTTTTCAGCACTAACTTTTTTTTCGTCTTGATGTTAAACGTTAGTCTACCTGAAGTCTTCAAATACTGCGTGGATGTATTTATGTCTTGAGAAGTTAGGTCGTCGTAACGAATTTTTCTAATTTCACTTGTAATGAAGGGGAAAATTTGCATATTGTTCTGGTAAAGCTTTTTAGCTCCCTCGTCATCACCTTACTAACCATCAGTTTCTGGGTTCAGATCTTGGAAATAAATAATCGCCTTTTGTTCTTCAGGGATGCTTAAAAATTCTTATTTTTGTTGGTATATACCACCAAATTCTCTAATACAACGTTTTAGAGAAACAGTAAGTTAAACGTGTGGCTTCTCCAGTGTAGCATGCGGATTTTTTTGAAAGAGATAGAGGTGTTGAGAAACTTCATTAACTGCTTATTTTCTTTGCAATACTGAAAGTTATTTTTATATCATCCGCGTTGATTTTTTTTAAATTTTTGGAAGGAAGTACGAAATTTTCAAAGTCTTAGTCGAACTATACTGAGCATAAAATTTTGAAATTTGTTTTTGAGGGTGACTTGAGTATGGTTCTGCCGGTTTAAACTGTCTTGACTTCTTTGATAAGGAAGATGAAATGTTTGGTGGGCGGTACCGTTGTGGTTTCATTTTTCTCGATTATATTTTTAATATTGGTGTTGTATCGGTTTTTTATATTGTTATCACTACTTTTGTTATCTTTTTTTGTGAACTTTGTGTCTAGAAATTCCTTATCTGAGTTACTCACAATTTTATTCTTGAGTTTTGAACTTTTTGTTCGAATTATTGCTTTTACTTTCTATGCGCGACTTTAAAGAAGGTAATCTTTTGCTTTTTAACTTTAATTCGGAAGGTTCAGCGTATCAGTTGGCATTAAAAACTGGTAGTAATTATTAGGGCCGAGGCATCGTACTGAGTTCTTATGTAATTTCCGATTCACCGTAAAATAACCATACTATTTCCGTAAGGTCGTTGAAACTTGTGCTCTCCTGTTTACCGCTGAAGCAACAACCTCATATGTCCTATGGTCCTTGGCGGGACAGTTACAGGAAGCGTACGGTCGGAACAAGACTGAGCATTAATAGTCATGGGAATAACAGTGCCTGCATACTTCGTCGTTTTAATGGTAATCTTTTGCCCACTGTTTAGTACAGAGGATCTGGCAATATTTTTTTTATTGTGTAATATGTTAATAAGTGATTTAACCATTCTGAGATGGAGGACATATGGAAATAACGATTTTTTACTGCAATCACTACAACAAAGAATGAAAATGAAGATTAAGGACTGTTACCACTGTGTGAAAAGTAGGTGTTGTGCAGGGACAACAAGAAGATACGTGTTGCGTAGGCAGTTAAAAGTGTTGTGAAGCAGCCATTTGCAAAATTGCTGTTTTAAAGTGCAAATATGAAAACTAAGTGGGAGGAAAGTTTAGGCCTACTGTATGTACAAAATGATGAGTAAAAAAGATTATGCGTTAAAAAATTTTAAGAAATCAGAAAG